TCCCTCCTTTCCCAAATTCACTCCTGGGGGGAGGGAGAGGTAGAAGCCCCCCTCCCGAATAATCCCCAAAACGCAGCCCGAAAAGGATGGCGCCGAAAATGCCACCGCTTGATATCTTAGGACATCAGGAAGGAAACATTAGGGAAGGCATCCATCAGATCCTGCCTGGGTTTTTTGTGGGGATCAGAAATGATGGAAGGGGGGTCCTGGCAGAGGCCAGACTGGCTGGGAAATGGATCAGAGCGGTGGGGAAAGCAGGGAGGCAGCAGGAGATGAGGAAGGCCCAATACAAGATGGACAAACTCCCTCGAAGAAGCCACAAGCTTCAGTTTCCAAGAGTCGGGGAGGGCAGTTCAGGACAGGGATTCTCGGAGACGGCTCATTCCTGAGGCCACCCAGAGTCGGAGGCGACTTGACAGCACATCACAGCGCCAAGACCTGCAAAATAAGAAACTAGGCTCATCATTCGAACCGAAATCCGGTCTCTCTCCCCGGAGGGGGCCCGGTGGCTGCTGCGGTGGCCACGCTCCCACTGTCTCTACCTGTGAAAAGGAAACCATCGTCCTGGCCCCGATTTCCCTTCTTGTGGGTCTTTGTTTTTAACCAGAGTTTGAAAAACCAAAAAAAAGAGAAGATTTGTTTTCCGACACATCTGGGGCAACCCTACCCGGAAATCTTGACTCCTGGCCCTTTGCTCTGGCCGTTAGCCGTTCCTTCCTGAACGGGAGACGCCCCTACCGAGAGACAGAGGGAGATGGGTGGAGCAGACCCCCATCCATCCATCCATCCATCCATCCATCCATCGACTAATCCATCCATCCATCCATCCATCCATCCATCCATTGACTAATCCATCCATCCATCCATCCATCCATCCATCCATCCATCCATCCATCCATCCATCCATCCATCCATCCATCCATCCATCTCACGTATGGCCTTTTGACCATCCCTGGGCCTACCCCGGAGGGTGGTTGTGAGGCAGGAGGAAAGCCATGGAGGTCGCCTTGCGTTCCTGGGTTTCCCTCTCGTTGAAAGACTGTTGTTGACCTGCAAGAGATGCTGCGCGGCAAACAGGCAGACGTGCAACAGGGAGAGTCCCGTTTTCTGTTTCCAGGGCATCCAAAATGGCTCAGCCACCAGCGCAGCAGGCTTCTGAGAGCCTGGAAATTGCGGTGGGGGTGGGGGTCCGGGAGGGGGATTTTCCAGCTTAGACAGCAAAATATCTTGGGCATCTTCTTGGCCACGCTAGCCAGTTTTGCCACAGGCCTCTCATTCGACGCCCTTGAGGTCATCTCCCCGTTCCCGATCTGTGGTAATTGCAAAAAGGGGGGGTGTTGAATGGCTGGGAACCCTTTGACTAACAAGGAGAAAGATTTGAATCCACACCTCCGGAGAGGTGGGATCGGAAACCGGCACCTCTACCCCGAGGAGAGTCAAGGCAGGATGGAATTGCCTGTCGCGCTTATTTCGCACAAAGAAGGCTAAGAGGGGTTGCCATCTTTCGAGGGCAAGATCAACGCGTCGGCAGAATTTGGGCAAATTTTGAGGGGGAGGAAGGAACACACCTCTTGGGTGAGTCTCTGAGTGGCTGGGGGAAAAAAATCAAAGATGGGGGTCATGATTTCCAGCCTCTAATGGCGACCTGTCCATGTCGCTGGAGAAGATGCAGGGAACCATGTCATAGCCAAGCCGTCTGGGATGGCAGGATGGTTTGAAAACCTTCTGCATGCAGTTGTGCATGGAGCATGAGCATGCGGAGGCGCATGGCGCATGAGCATGTAGAGGCGTGTGGAGCATGAGCATGCGGGGGCGCATGGAGCATGAGCATGCGGTGGAGCACAAGCATGCAGTGGCACGTGGAGCATGAGCATGCAGTGGCGCATGGAGCATGAGCATGTGGTGGCACATGGAGCATGAGCATGCAGTGGAGCATGAGCATGCAGTGGCGTGTGGAGCACGAGCATGCAGTGGCGTGTGGAGCATGAGCATGCAGCGGTGCATGGAGCATGAGCATGCAGTGGCACGTGGAGCATGAGCATGTGGTGGCACATGGAGCATGAGCATGCAGAGGCGCATGGAGCATGAGCATGCAGAGGCGCATGGAGCATGCAGTGGCACTTGAGCATCTCTCAAGCAAATCTCTTGAGAGATTTGTGTTCTGAAGCCCTGCTCCATAGCCACCCATCCACACTGGACATTTGACCTAAATGGGTAGGTTGACTTCTACTGCGCTGTATGCAGATGACACCCTGTCCGCACTTTGTAGAGCAGTTTCCTTTCTAAGAAAATTGGGGGTTTTTTAAGGTGTTATGGGGGCCCCTAAGCCACCCGGTTTCGGCTTAACCTGGAGGATATTTGGTGGAGACCTGGGCCTCGGATCCCTATAAACTGTTGCCAGCCAGAGTAGAGGATGACTGCTTCCCCACTAGGACACTGGACAAGAAGACTTGACACCACCTTCAATTCCTAGCTGCCTCAATGTTTTCTCATCATTTCTCCCTCATGAGAGAAAGGACAAAACAGTAGACCATCTATGGATACCATGCCTCTTACCTCAGAGCAGGAGGAGCCCTGTCTTAGAAGTGGCCAACTTCAAGCTTAGGTAGATAATTCATCTTCAAAACAATGGATTAGGTTTTCTACTGTGTACAGATCCAATAGCACACAAATTTCCTTAGCAAAAAAAAAAAAACGCCTTGAACGATTGCATCGAGGTTGGCTTGGCCCAGGGAACATATTTACACAACCCACCCAGAGTTCTCCCTGTCGATCCAGCTGTGCTCGGTTTCCTAGGGAGGGTGTTCCTCCTCTCCCCCCCCCTTGCAAAGGAACATTTCAGCGCTTCTTTCTCACTGAGCTCATACATTTATTCCCCAACTGGAATTCTTAACCAGGCCCCTCCTATAAGTCTTATGATACAGCTCCTTTGAGAAATGCCTTTGAGTAAAGCTAATATTTTAATGCCTGCTAAGTGGTTCACATTGTCATGTCTTAAAGGGCTCCAGACCCTCCCCTGAAGAGTCTCTTGAAGGATGGCCTATAAAGACATGACCCCCCCCCCATTCTGGCACCTTTGCTGCAAATGATGCCACTTACAGTGGCGCCTCGCTAGACAGTTACCCTGCATGACAGGTTTTTCGCTAGACGTTGACTTTTTGCGATCGCTATAGCGCTTCGCAAAACAGTGATTCCTATGAGGGAATTTCGCTCGACAATGTTTGGTCCCTGCTTCGCAAACCGATTTTCGCTAGACGACAATTTTGACAGCTCCCTCCGTGCTCGCAAAATGGGTGTTTTCGGGACCTAAGCTTCACAAGACGGCGATTTAAACAGCTGATCGGCGGTTTGCAAAGCGGCTTTCCTGTGGCCGATCTTCGGTAGACAACGACGATTCTTCCCCATTGGAACGCATTAAACAGGTTTCAATGCATTCCAATGGGGAAATGCTTTTCGCTAGACGATGATTTCGCTAACCAGCGATTTCAGTGGAACGGATTATCATCGTCTAGCGAGGCACCACTGTATTGCTTTGGTGGCACTTGCTAAAAGCGGGCACCGCTCAGCGACCCAACAGACTGGAGAGAGAGTCAACATCTGGATGATTTTGGAAAGTCGCCGAGACATCAGAAGATCCTCCTGCTGGCTTTCCCACAGCTTTGAAGTTTCATTAAAACAAAACATCATCCTCGTCGCTCAGGGGCTGAGGTCTCTGGCTGTGGAGTCGGAGGTCAAGAGTTCAGTCCTGGCTGTGGAGCCAGAGGTCGAGAGTTCAATTCCCCCACGGAGCCTCCTTGAGAGAGGCTGAACACCATTGATCCAGAGGGTCCCATCCA